GGTTAGGAGAGGAATGAACGAAAAAGAGTGACGCACCTCATATATGTGTTGGCTATACATTTTGTACTAAGCCAGTGACAATTCGACACGTGATAAAGTGAGGGTAATATGGGGAGACCAGGTAGGTCTTCGATCCTGATCATACACGTGGCAATTAATATTGGTTGTTATAAGATCTGAGTAGTAGCGGATCAACAAAGAGACGTACAGTGACGTGGCTTCAACGGTTGTTCACATTCAAATTCGAATATAAGGGGGAAGCCTAACTGCAAGTGAAGGCGTAGTGGAGCTACTTATAAGGTAGCATGATCAGCAATTACGGAGGAGCAGTTCGACGGTTTGAAGTACGATTCGATGGTTATCTTCGGAAAGTATAAATAGCAGGAAGGACCTCAGAGAATGCACGAAGAAAAATCTAAAGAATCACTTTACATATTCCAGTGTTATTTCCTGTCCTTTATATTCCTGTATTTTAAGTTTCTGCGCTGCACTTCATTTGTAGGAGTAGTTGTCGAGTATATTGCCGCTGTAATTCTCTACGGAACTGAGATCATTGTAAGTTCTTTTTATACTAATGAAATACTCTAGTTTAGTTAATTGTTCTTATGTTCAAATTTTCTGAAGTTAAATTACCAGTAAGCCACCAGTAAAAGTCCTCTTTATTGAGGCCGAAAGAACCATAACACAATCGTCTGAATAATTGTTTGGCAATTACAATTCTGTAAGGACTGATTGATCCTTGCTGGCACGCTCATAATTACGAAAGTAACCTTCGAAAGCCAAAAAAGCCAACAAATGTAAATGGCCCAACTCGACCTGTATGACCTTGGGCTCAGGTCAGCCCATGCCCGCTCAGGCTCTCGTAAAAAATCGGACAGGGCCAGTTCCCAAAAATCTAGGCCCAAGCCCAGGGGTAATCGGGCTTCAGGCCTAGGCCTGACTTTTTTTTTTTATATATTTTTTTCCACCAAAATAGTTTGTAGGTGATGTTGGGCGTCAGGCAGGCTAGGCCTCAAGCTTGGATAAGACTTGTCAGGCCAAGCCTCAAACTGAGCTCTTCGGATCAGGCCAGGCTAAAAGAAAAGCATGGGCTAGGTTTCAAGTCAAGCTTGGGCCATTTTTACACTCTCGTTAGAACCAAAAGGTTGTAACCAAACACCCATTTAGTTAAAACTAAAAAGTCATAACTAACATTACAATAAGTCATAGTCAATTTATAATCAACATCATAATGTGTCGTAACCAAACCCCACTTGAGTCATAGCTAAAAATCTCTTCAATCACAACCAAAATAACAAACCCTGAATAGGTTGGGCTTTTCTCATGTTAGGATCTCAACATGAGAGAACTTGAGAGATCCATGAAGCCCACCATAGCTCCCATTTCGATAATTCGAACAGTTCACTTTCTATGACTCGTTGAGTAGAATATTTAAGTAAAAAATTAAAATAATCGAACATCGATAACCATATGTTTGAATCAAATTTATATTATAAAAAATGAATAATTATTCTAGAAATTATATTTGCTGTCCATTTAAAAAAATATATGAATCAAATATATAACTACCGATGTCCAATTATCTTAATTTTTTGTATAAATATTCTACTCAATGATTCTAAAAAAGTGACAGTTTTGATCATCCAAATTGATTTCAAAATTGACCTAGCAAACCCAAACGCTTGCTCAAGTTGAGATCCCAATTTGAGAGAAGCAAAACCCTAAGCACAAAATGTTATAATTAAATCATACCCAATACCACACACTTAGTCATAACAAAATAAAATATTACAAAAAATATAATTCAAAACTAGACATAGGGTAAACCCTTATTATAAAAGAAATAAAGCAAAACAATTTGAAGCAAAATAAAACACCTTGTTGAGGACAACTATAAAAGTTTATGTATTTGTTTTACTTTTGAAAAAAACATATGAATGCACTGCAGTTTTAAGTTTTTTGTGATTTGAGATTGTAAATCTTCTTTATTAACCTATTAGAAATAGATGATATACGTTAAATATAGTAACTATATATTCTATCTATTATACATATCATATGATATTCATTACCATATTTAGGATTATCATATTTAGGTTTCTCTCTTTTTATATAAAAGAGTCTTATATATATTGTTAAATCATTCAATATAATACAGATTTATCTCTCTCTCTCACTCTCTCTCTCTCTCTTAGATATTGTGACATAGTATCAAAGTTATAGGTTAAACTCTTGGTGTTCTTCACCTTACTGGCAGGCGGCAACCTTTCCTTGGTCACTTGCTGGACCTTAGTTCTATCTGTTGTCTCACCATAGCCACCAGACCTTCTTCAGCATCATCGCCTTCACTTCGCTGCATCTCCCAACTCCGGCATCTCCACCATCTTCACTGCCTATAAACCCATTCTTCTATCAAATCCTTTCATCATCATCGTGCTATAGCTGTAGCTCCAGCCATCACGCTAGCTATAGCTTCGGCCATCGTCGACATCTTTCACCGTTGCCCACAAATCCATAAGCTTCATAATTTTTTAATCAAACCCACCCGAAATTCTCTCTCTCGGGTCTACACTCTCTTTATATTCAAACAAAACAACCTATTTTTCAACTCAATTACATAGGCTTGTCCTACCATTATTTTATTTGTTTATATCCTTCTTTCTCTCTCTCTCTCTCTCTCTCTCTCTCTTTCATACACCCATGTGGTTTTCTCTCTTTTTTGTCTCTTTAAAAAAAAATCTAATTACATGGGTTATCTCCCAATTTTAAGCCACTCTTCATTAAAATAAAATTCCTTTCTACAATAAAGATATTTTTTTGAGAACATCATCTCTCCCTTCCATTCCACTATGTCTTTCCATTTCTGTCAACCTCAAATAGATTTCTATTTTCAAATCTATTTGAATTTGAGAGGAAGGGTAATATATCTATATTATGTTGAGCATGGTGATATACCATGCGAACCACTTAAGCCACCCTTTGGCACCCCACCTAAGTCACCCTTTGGTGCACTCTCTAAACCGTCTCCCTTGGCACACTACTAAACCAGTCTCTTGGCACACCATCTAAGTCGCCCCCTAGCGCATCACCTATGTTACCCTTTGACGCACCACCTAAGCCGCCTCCTGGTGTACCGCCCAAGCTGTCCCCTAGCGCATTACCTAGGTAACCTCCTGGTATACCATCCAAGCTGCCCCCTGGCGCATTCTGTCATAAGCTACCCCTTGATATACTCTTTCATCTGTTGCCATCATCATTCAACACCACATCATAAGTTATATATATGCCACGTTTGCTGGTGTAGCATCCAGTTCTTTTTCCACAATCTGATATGACCCTAAAAACTATCATCTGGTTGAGATTGTTTTGCTTACGGCTTTTTCTATGGCCGTTCTGTACGACCTCACCAAAAACTGTCTTTTGAGCGCACCTTCGCCTCTCTTGGACGGTCCAGCATGACCTTACCAAAAACTGTCTTTCGAGCGCACCTTTGCCACTCTTGGATGGTTTGACATGTCCTCACAAAAAACTATGCTTCGAGCGCATCTCTGGCCAAGCTTCTACAACGATCCAACAAAACCATAAACTGTCTCCCGACATGAGTGTCGACCCTATTCTTATAATGGTTTGACACAACCATAAATTGTATTCCAGCATTAGCTCCGTTAGCTCTGGCTCTGTTTCTACAAAGGTTTGACACCACCATAAAATGTCTCCTGACATTGGCTCTGGCCTCTGATCTATCTCAAGCACCCCTGTGCTCCTATCCAAACTTTGCAATTTATTCTCCTCGGATCTATCCATATTTTTAGTTTTATTTCATATTTTAATTTTTCTCTCCAAGCTCAAATAAACTCAAGTTGGTCTCCCTACTTGAGTTTGAGAGAGGGTGTTAAATATAATAATTGTATATTCTATCTATTATGCATACCATATTATATTCATTACCATACTTAAGATTATCATGCTTAGGTTTCTCTCCTCCTATATAAAGGAGTCTTGTATACATTGTTAAATTATTCAATATAATACAGATTTCTCTATCTCTCTCAAATATTGTAACATGGTGTCAGAGCTATAGGTTAAGCTCTTAGTATTCTTCACCTTACCAATGGACAACAACCTTGTTGTGGCCGCTCGCTGGACCTTAGTTATATCCCCTGTCTCACCATAGCCACCAAACCTTCTTCGGTATCATCACCTTCACTTTGCTGCATCTTCCAACTCCAGCATCTTCGTCATCTTCCCTGCCTTTAAACCTATCTTTCTAGCAAACACAACAAACCATTTCATCAACGTTGTGCTACAGCTGTAGCTCTGACCATCACGCTAGTTACAGTTTCGACCATCGTCGTCGTCTTTCACCGTTGCCCACAAACCCATAAGCTTCACAATTTTTTAATCAAGCCCATCAAAAATTCTCTCTCTCAAGTCTTCTCTCTTTCTATTCAAACAAAACAACCTATTTTTCAACTCAATCACATAGGCTTGTCTTACCATTATTATTTTTTCTATATCCTTTTCTCATTGTTTATGCCATGATGTTGAGAGGTGGAGGTAATGGCCATAGAGGTTCACAATGGTAGGTGGCTGTGGAATGGGTTCTTCTCCTCTCTTTTGGTTGTTGTTCAACCCCCTCTTCCTCCTCTTCCACTACCACCATGGTCATCATTGTATTTGATGGTAGGCTTAGAACATAGATGATAGAAGGGAAAGGGAAAGGGAAAGAAAAATAAAAAATAAAAAATAAAAAATGATTTTTACAAATAAAGGCAATACAGTAATTTCATTATCTAGTTAATAGTGCTATAAGTGACAGGGGAGGTCGATGATATTTTAGATAATAAAGGGGGTGACAATGTTATTTCAGATAAATTCAAGGGATGTTAGCATAATTTACCCTATAAATTTATGTAAACAAGAAAAATACACTTTCAAAATTTATGTATCGACCATATATATACACAAAAATAGTAGGTGAAGAAGGAGAGGGAACGTACATGGCAGTGAAGTGACATACACCAGAAGAGCAGGTGCAGTTGACAGTATTGTTATATGTTGGTTGGACAAATGCTGTTTTGCCCCAGTTCCCGTTTTCATCACAATTCGTCTGATTAAAGTCCCAGTCTTTTTTACCCACTTGCTCAGCTATTTCATGAAGAGCATTCACTGCAAAACTCGCCCTTGTTTAGTTATGAAGAAATATCCATGCATAGTCTGCATGAATTATGGTTGACTTTATTTTGTATGTTTTTGTTTTTAATTTTAATTTTTTTTAAAAAATATTGTAAATCAAAGCACATTTTCAAAATAATTTTATAATTAAATATCCCTAGAACCGCTTAAAGCGACAATTGAATTATGTAAATACTATTAGCTTGCTTGGTTCTATTTTTCCAAAAACACTTTTCAGAAAATTTTAATTTCTTATTTTTGGTGTTTTTTTGTTTTTACTGAATTTTTTAAATATTTTAAGCAATTTTTATTTTTACTTTTTAGACACACCTAACATAAATACACCTTAAAAAATTGTAAAAAAAATCTTTTAAAAATTCACTAAATACCAAAAATATAAAAAAATATAAGAATTCAGTATATTTTTTGTATTTTTATGCATTTATTAATTTTTAAAAATATTTTTCACAAATTTTTTACTTTTTAGATACATCTAAGTAAGGTGCATCTAAAAAAGTAAAAAAAAATATTTAAAATTTTAAAAATATTCACTAAAAACAAAACAACACGAAAATTAAAAAACTTAGTTTTCAAAAAATTTAATCTAGAAAACTCAAACCAAACACACTGATTTAGTTTTTTGTTTTCAGTTTTCTGAAAACTGAGTTTTTTGTTTTTCGTGTTTTTTTTAGTGAATATTTTTAAAATTTTAAGTATTTTTTTTACTCTTTTAGATGCACCTTACTTAGATGTATCTAAAATAGTAAAATATTTGTGAAAAAATATTTTAAAAAATTAATAAATACACAAAAATACGAAAATGTACTGAAGTTTAGTATTTTTTTGTATTTTTTGGTATTTAGTGTATTTTTTAAAGATTTTTTTCACAAATATTATACTTTTTAAGTGTATTTATGTTAAGTGTGTCTAAAAATTTAAAAAAAAATGCTTAAAATATTAAAAAAATTCATTAAAAATATTAAAATATGAAAAACAAGAAAGTAAAATTTTCTGAAAATTAGAACCAAACAAACTGATTATCATTATAATCACTAATAAGATCATAACTTGGTGTATGATACACATCCAAAACTTTGTACCATAGAATTCTTACATGATAAATGGTCACATATATGCAATTTCGTAGTATTTGATTTATTTTGTTTATTTATTTTTTTATCGGCAAAAGAAAAGCTTTATTGATGAAAACATGACAAGAAAGACAACTTACAACAATAAATAATGGTTATTATTAAGTCTCATAATGAAATGATCATTCTTTACGATAATGATTCTATTCATATGCATGTTCCTAACCTTTTGAATGAAGCACACATTAGAATGATAATCAACTAGATATAAAATTTAAAATCGGTTTTATGGGTGGGAATTGACTCCAAAACTCTATTTCAGTTGACTTAATCATTGTGAAGAATGTGTGAAAGTGTATTGCATGTCAAAGACTTGCAATGAAGTTCTTGTTCATACTCACAAAATTTATATAAAAAAATAAAAATAAAAATATATATGCTGAAAGTATATGGAAGTTCCCTTACTTTCATCATCAGCGATACGTCCAGTTTGTGCTTCAATTCCTCCTGCTCCAAAGCATATTAGTATGGTAAACAATATTGTAAGCACTGAAACCATCTTCTACTTTATATTTGGATTCTGTGAGCACATCATCCAAGTTAGCTATATCTATATATACAATGGAATGAATATGTACACCCTTATAAGAAGAAAATTTCATCAATAATAGTGTTAAGTTGACTTTGTGGTCTTCTTAAGGTGGGGGCCTTGATTTAAATGATGATAATTAAATAGCTATATTGGTTTTTTCTTTGAGCATTTGTATTTTAAATAGACAGTATAAAAATAATTTCATTTTTATGATGATTTGAGTCTTTTATATGTATGGTGCAAGAATTTCTTATATTTAATGTAAATTTTTTTTTTATGTCAAATTTATACATTTATTAATTTTTTTTTTATGTACATATAATACAATTATTTTAAAACTTTCCTACTTTATTTGAAAGTTGTATTTTTCTTTTCATATTGTACCTAAATTTATATAAAAAAAAAATAAATAAATAAAAATAAAAATATATATGCTGAAAGTATATGGAAGTTCCCTTACTTTCATCATCAGCGATACGTCTAGTTTGTGCTTCAATTCCTCCTGCTCCAAAGCATATTAGTATGGCAAACGATATTGTAAGCACTGAAACCATCTTCTACTTTATATTTGGATTCTGTGAGCACATCATCCAAGTTAGCTATATCTATATATAGAATGAAATGAATATTTACACCCTTATAGGAAGAAAATTTCATCAATAATAGTGTTAAGTTGACTTGGTGGTCTTCTTAAGGTGGGGACCTTGATTTAAATGCTGATAATTAAATAGCTATATTGGTTTTTTCTTTGAGAATTTGTATTTTAAATAGACAGTATAAAAATAATTTCATTTTTATGATGATTTGAGTCTTTTATATGTATGGTGCAAGAATTTCTTATATTTAATGTAAATTTTTTTTGTATGTCAAATTTATACATTTATTAAAAAAAAATTTATGTACATATAATACAATTATTTTAAGACTTTCCTACTTTATTTGAAAGTTGTATTTTTCTTTTCATATTGTACCGAAGGCATTCTTTGAGCACCACACATGGGTGGTCCACCTCTACCTGTTTGGTGCATCATATGACATGCCCATGGAGAAATGCTTTTTTCAATTATTAAAGCTTGATGTGCATGCATATCAGTATTTGGAACCGGACAAGTAGTTACGTGTGGAAAAATAGTAAACATGCGTCAAACATGAGCGGACTTGTTTTGAAAGACCCATGTTTGATTAGAAATGGAGTGATACTGATAGCACCCAAAAATCATTTAATCCTTCCATTTTTTTACTCCCGTTAAAAAATTTTAAGTTTCATAAAAATTCTTTAAATGCCCCACTTTATACAAAAAAATAATACTATATTATAAAGGCCTAATCACCACCAACCTTTGCTTTAGCTATCCTCTTCTGACCGTCTCCAACTAGGGTCAGCCCTTCCCGCCACCCCAACCCCTCCCCACCCTCCAACGTCACCCCTAATCATTCTCTACCCTCCAATACCATCCCCTAAACCTCCTAACCCTCTAACACCTTCACCTTTCAATGCATCGATTGTGATAACAATCAGTGTGTTTTTATAAATATTTGTTTGACAAATTTGAAGATATTTGAATTGACAAATTTTATGAAAGTTTTTATGAATATTTGTATACTTCATGTTTTTATGAATGCTTAATGTTTTAAGAAAAGTGAATTTGTAAACGTGCTGCAATAGATGGCTAGACAAATCTAATTTGTTCGGCAACGTGACACCGGAATAATCCAAATTGTTTGGCAATGTATAATTGAACAGGCCAATCATAAATTTAGAGAAAAACAAATGATATTTTAAGAAAAGTGAATCTGTAAACGTGCGACAGCAGATGACTAGACAAATATAGTTTGTTCTGTAACAGAATCCCTGATTAATTCAAAAGGAAGGGTGTAATGAGAAAAACCTGCAAAGATTTTGAAAATGGTTTAATTTAGGGTTAGTTTTGGTATTATAAAGGGTGTAATGAGAATTTCAATTATTTTTTAATGGTGTAATGAGAAAATATGTATAAAGAGGTAAAATTGTGGTGTAAGTAGAATTTCCCATTTTGATCCTTACAATTTCAATTTTGTCAATTTTGTAGGGTATGTTTCATCTTCATCTTGAATGTTTCAAGACCAAATTGACAAAATTAAAATCTTTAGAGACTAAAGTGACACAAAATACATACTTTATGAACCATAAATGTATTTTATTATGATCCCGTCAACTATTTAAATGGTCAATTTGAAATTAGACTAAAATAACTCAAATTAAAAATTTTAAGAACGAAATTAAAATTTAAAGAATCAAGGTGACATGAATCATAAATCGCATGCTTTAATAAAGACCAAAAATATATTTTAACATTTTTAAAAATTTGAAGAAAAAAAATTATGCAGGGGTCCCAAAAAACAAAGCTATCCTTTAGTTATGACCTAATCCGATTTTCATAGAGCTTTCTTCATTTACACCATCAATTTGTGAAATAATTATTTTTCTTATATTGGAATATTTGGTCAAAAGCTCATCATGCATCTCCTTTAAAGTGAAAAGGATAGTCCAAACTTTTTTAATTTGTAAGCCCTCTTGAGAAGAAGTGCCTCTTCCATCAAGGACAAACAAATTTGTTTCCATTTTTTTTATAGACAATCTTACCCTTAGTAACTACTTTTATATTTTAAAATTTACAATGATATAACTTTTTATCTATATATTATTTTTAATAAAATTAGTAGTTTTAAAATCCTCTCGTCAAGATCTATGTTGACTATAAAATTGTTTTAAAAAAGGTAAAAAATCATTATGATTCACGATGATTCAGAGTAGGAGGGCTGTGCTTGGATGTAGTTTAGGGTTTTATGAAATTATCGTTGTTCTAGTCTGAATATGAGGTTTTAATCGATTCATAGGGTCTTAACAAGAGAATTCCTATCAATGATAATAATAAAGCCACATTACGCATAAACATGATACAAAGAAAAAGAACTAGGAACAGGAAAAAAAGATGATTCAAAAGGCTTTTACGATCAAGATAAAGACAACTGAGCCAACTTGATATTTTAGCATTATTGCCACAAAGGAAGAGCATTTGGATTTTTCTTACTTCATATCTTTAGAGAAGATTGAATTAAAAAGTTTCAAACTTTCTATTACATTATTGTGACTAGTATTGAGATGTTTTTCTACTTGAGCTGTTTGAGATGAAAGTCTCATATACTGTGAATCAGAGTAAAATTTTATTGTGAAATAGAGTTTACAGTAAAATTTTACTATGAAACAGAGTAAAATTTTACTGTTTACGTCAATTACGACGGTAATTTTTTTTTTAAGCATTTGATAGTCAACGTGGACCTAATAGATTTTGATAAAAGGATTCCAAAAATACTAATTTTTATTAAAAACCAACATCTAGATCAAAAGTTATAATTTTAAAGTTTAAAATATTAAATGAGTCCTAAGGATATTTTGATAATATTGGTGTGTAGAGATAATCACGAGTCTGGTTTGGGGTGGGTTTGCCGTAATCCGCCCCCACCCTGTCTCGTATTGGGTGCGAGGCAAATTCGGGGGTGCAGCAGTAGGGTGGGTGCGAGGTCAGAGACGGGTTAATTTTATAATTTGAAAAATAAAAAATATTAATATTTTTTTTAAATAATATAGTTTATTACGGATAATGATTTATAGTTAATAATAATTATAACATATAAGATAGAAAATAAATGAGTAAAAATTAATATTAAGTATAATATTTTAGTGTTTTAATTTTATTATAATGAAAAAAAATTAAATTATATATTATATACATAAACATATATTTAATAAATATAATCGGGGCAAAAGGTCGGGTAGAACGGGATGAGGGAAGTAAAACCTGTCCCTGTCCCACTTCCTCAACAAGGCGGGGAAAACCCGGGTAGGGCGGGGCAAAATGATCATCCCCAGTGATATGTGCTTGACTTTTTAAAGAAAACTTTTTATATTTGTTCTTAATGTATTAAAATTTTATTATGAGGAGATTTTGACCAAATTCTCTAATAATTTTCCTAAAAATATTACTATAATTTTCAGTGTCATTTGCCTTCGACACGTTTTCTTTGACTTTTGAATATTCAAGTTTGGCAATTTTGATAAACTTTTTGATTTTTCATGGTTATTATTAATTTTTATTTAGAATTTTGTCAAATTTCCCTCGTAATAAAATTTTCATGCATTAAGGCGTACACAAATTTCATTGAGAAGTCCAACACATACTACTATTATCAAAATATCCTTATTTAGCAATTTAATATTTTAAACTTTAAAATTATATAACTTTTGATCTATGTATCGATTTTTTTTTTTAAATTGATATTTTTGTAATATTCTCATCAAGATCTATTAAATAAAATCTATGTTGGCCATGAAATTGTTTATAAAAAATAATCAAAATTTTTAATGTCGAAATTAACATCAACTGTAAAATTTTATTTTGTTTTACAGTAAAATTTTACTCTGATTCATAGTAAATTTTACTGTGAAATTTTAGTATTTAAATAGTAAAATATCATCATTATCACTAAGGGGTTGTTTGGGATGTCCTAAATAAGTGCATTTTTTAACTTTTTGGACTAAAAAGTTGTGAAAAAAATATGGTTGTTTGGGATAATTTTTTGACTTTTTACAAAAAAAATGTATATTAAAAAATTTGTACAAATTAATGTATAGGAGAAGATTGGGATAGAATAGGCAGCACGGTGGGATGTCCTAAGGGGCAGCATGTGCAGAGTATAGGCTAAGAGATGGTTTCCTTCTTTTCGGGTATTGAATTGGACGGTACTGTTCGGCCCGTAGGGGCCCACCACGAGTCCCGTTTTGCTAGTCGGAACGGTTCAATGTGTAGAATTTGTCGAATACTATATGCTTGTAAAAAATCACGTTGATCGAATATCGATAGCTATCTGATCGGATTAGTTTTTTTTTCAACTGTTAACTATAACACCATCTATTTTTTCTACAAAACTGATTGATCATGTAGTTAGAGATATTCGATCAACGTGATGTTTTACAAGCATACAGTACTCGA